CGCCCCGTAAAATCCGTGCGGATTAGCGATCCACTAATATATCCCGCGGGCGTAAAAACGCGACGAAGCAGCTGAGATATTCGTTCCCTCGCCGTTCGTCCTCGCCGCGCACCCGTTTTCAGCTTGCGAGCCGGTTTGTCTCTTTGGCATAAAATAAGCCCCCGAAACGAGCGGGGAAAAGTAATAAATTTGTGAGTTACAACCTGTCCTCGCGGACCTCTAGTTACCACGTCCCTCTCTTTCTCTCGTATTTTTCTTTTCTTTTTTTTTTTTTTTTTTTATCTTGACGATTCTTTCTTCACGATGTGAGGGAACATCGTGCGAACAGTCGCGCGGGAAAAAAGTTTTCTGTCTGTCGCGTTCTTTTTCCTTTTTCGAAGGGAAAAGAAAAATCGAAAAATGGAGAATTTGAAGGGTGGAGAAACGAGGAGGTGGACGAGCAATGTTGGACGGATGGGCGAATATTGGATCGTGAACAATAATTGAGAAGGAAGAATTATGAAAATTATGAGGGATTGTGGAGATTAGAAAAATGAGAAAAAGTTTATAGAAAAAAAAAAAGAAAAATTGGTTTCTACGTTTCTAAAAATTCGTTGTTCGTAGAATTTCTTTGAATTCGCGGGATCAATATACGATCTTCTTAACGTAAACGAAGGCGAGAACGAAGGATCATCCTCGAGCCACTGACCAATATGGATGTCGAATGTTTGACAGGAAAGGGTAGGGTAGTTTTTGGCCACGTTTCCCTTCGAGATCTTCCGCTTTCACGTCTCGTGTAACTCTGCCACGAACCCAACGAACGGTAGAACCGTCAAACGATACGACACGTTAAGCCTCCAAGAACTCTGCAGGAGATCTCGTGGGAAACTATATATTGGAGAATATATCGAACGAAATAAATAGGAAGGAATCGTAATAGGTGTTTGTCTTCGAACGTCATAACGTTCTACGTGAATCGAATCGAACTTATTAGAAAAATTTATTTTTCCTTTTTCTTTTTTTGATTTTTATTAATTATTAATAGAGTTGAATATCGTTTTCTCGTATGTTATTTTCCGTGATTTGGATAAGTAAACGAGTAAAGTTAATACACTTTTGTATTATATTATAGATCATAGATGGAAATATTTTATTTATCGTAACTCGTTGTTACATTCTTCGTTACAATTTTTATCGATAAAAATTTCCTTTGAAACGACACCACAAAGAAGTTGTACAAAGAAGAACCTCGTGCCACGGAATAGATCGCGTCGTTAAGATATTGAAACGTGAAAAATGGAGACCTATAAATTTCGCTCGGTTGAGTAGGTCGCTTAAATAGCGTGTGTCGGATCAGGATGTAGATTATAAGATTAACTCTAATCTTGAAATAATATACAAACTTCGGAACGAGGAAGTTGGAACGGTGTACACCGGTTTAATCAAAACACACGAGGAAAGATACATTTTTAGCGGGGGCCGAATCGTTGTCCGTCAATTTCGAAATTTTTCCCTTGTTATCCGATATGCACAGGATTACTCTTATATTTACGATCCTTCCACGAGAGCGAAGAATAGAAGGCACGACGAGGATTGGTAATTGTGCGACAGACAAGGCTTCACACTGTCTTTGTCCGTGGCCTGTATTTATTTATTTTAAGAACCGAAATCTCTCGAATCGAGAAGAAGAAGAAGAAGAAAAAGAAGAAGAAGAAGAACTTACAAAACGAAAATAATAAATATCGAGATTTTTTTAGTTTCAATTTACATTTCTACCGTATTTTATCGTTTTATTTTCTTCGGTGGATCTAACAATAGGAAATCTTAGGATAGGCTAAGGGAATTTTTTAAAATAAACTATTCGAAATAAAGATTCATTTCTGAATCATATTTCTGAATCGCTACGAAATTAACTTAATCGCAACAATTCACATATATATATACATTCCACTTTCACAAAAATATTATCGAATATTTATTCCATCGCACGCTTATTTCGAAATCATCGATCAGCTGCAACGTGTCCGTATCGATCACCACGAGTGATCCCTTCGACGTTTATTTACAACGTGTTACATCGTTCGCATTCTTGTGTTACGTGATAAGTATCACCGGAGTCCATGTTTCTTCTTCCAGCACTCAGATGCTGTTTGCCGAGGAGGCATCACAGATAACGCGACATTACCGCGGCCGCTCTTTCCTCCTCGGGGACTGGCCTTGGCAAACAAAGGTCTCTCCTCTCCCTTGTCCAGGGTTGGCAAACTTATCCTCGTGTGGCCATTCGTAGCTCCTTACGCGTGTTCCTCGATCAAATAATACGCGTAACCGATCTGTTTGATTAGGGGTGTAGTTAGATTGGGGAACTATTTCTCGCGATTTATTCGAGAGACATTAACTTTATCTGCGGATGGAATTGTTACACGTTGATTTTTACTTGATTCCCGAGGGAGAGAAAAGAAAAAGCAAAGGAAAGATCGAAAGTGATAAGTGTTATCAGACATTGAATCGATTAACTCGACGTAAATATCGCGCGTATATAATAATATCGGAAGAATTATATTGCAATGGAGGGAACGACGAGTCGATTGATTGTCTCTCGTCGAGGAGGAATCCGGTTATGCGTTTTGCCTTTCTCTTATCGATCGTGAATCGAGATAAGTAACGATTTTAACCAACGCGGAAAATTACATTACGCATTCTGGAAAAGAATTCCTTCGAAGATACGTTCGAAGATAAGTGGGAGCTACTGCAGTGTCCAACTTGGGAACGGATAATGTGGTGGTGAAATCGTGTAAAGATCTCGCAAAAAATTTTGATATTATAGCGATATCTTGTTCGACACTTTATCGTGTCGAAGAAACGTGCGTTTCATTGAATTTCATTGAATTGCGATTCGATCAATGCGAGCAAGTAAACAAGAAGAAGAAAAAAAAGAAATGTTGCACTTCAGTTTTATCACGCGCGGCCACTTCATCGTTGTAATTAAACATATTTCATGGCGAATAATTCTTAATATCATAATATCGTAATCATAATATCGTAAAAACACGCATACATTCTCTCTCTCTCTGAAAGGAATTACTCATACATTTCAACGAATGATATTTTTCCTTTGTCTGAATAATTACACTCTTTTAATTCCTCGTTGAAAATTTCTTTGAAAAATTACTATTTCACTGTGCTGATACTACTGGTATTACTAAATTACCAAATATTTCGATATTTTGAATCATCGATATTCCCTCCTTTTACATTTCAACCCCGAATAATATCCATCCACCAATCCATCCACCATTGAAAATTTTTTTAAAAATTACTATTTCACTATGCTGTACGATACTACTGGTATTACTAAATTACCAAATGTTTCGACCATTTGAATCATCGATATTCCCTCCTTTTTTTCAACCCCGAATAATATCCATCCACCAGTCCATCCTCCATTGAAAATTTCTTTGAAAAATTACTATTTCACGATACTGGTATTACTAAATTACCAACTGTTTCGACCATTTGAATCATCGATATTTCCTCCTTTTACATTTCAACCCCGAATAATATCCATCCACCAGT